AAGTAGGGAGGGCAGAGCGTTCCCCCCCACCCATACGAACACCTCCTCTAACGGCAGTCTACCACTATCTCAGCTGCAATGGTCTCCACCAGGCACGGTGCTCTCTCTAGGAAGTCTGTACACACCCAGACCGACTGCCTGCCCAAAACTGCGGCAGTTCAGGTCTCTGAGCGCAGGGAGTGCCTGAGCCTGCCACTACCCACCCGCGGGGGACAGAGAGACTGTGTGCGTGAGGTGCAAGCAGGTGGACGACCTGGTCCGCCTCGTGGCAAAACTCAAGGCGGAGGTCGAGAGATTGAGGGATATCAGGGAGAGTGAGCAGGAGACAGACTTGTGGAACAACTCTCTACAGGGCCTGAAGGACAGGTACCGGGGTGAGACACCCCAAATGGGGGTGGACCCCCTGCCCTGTTGCTGTCGGGCAGAGGGAGGGGACCTAGGAGTTGAGGAGGAATGGAAACAGGTCCCTGCTTGACATCACAGGCAATGCCTCCCCTACTGGCCCCACCTTCCCAGGTGCCCTTATGCAACAGGCCCTGGAGCTTGAGAGACCAGTAGCTGAGGAAGAGGTAGAAAGTGTACCCAGGAGGATGCCTAGGGCAAGGAAGTCGACTCCACGTCTCAGGACTGCCTCCACCAGGACAGAAAGAAGGGTGACTGTTGTGGGCGACTCCCTTCTCAGGGGAACAGAGGGCCCTATTTGTTGGCCTGACCCTACCCATAGGGAAGTCTGCTGCCTCCCTGGGGCCAAGGTCAGGGACATTGCCAGAAAGCTTACCAGCCTGGTTCACCCCTCTGACTATCATCCTCTTTTAGTAGTCCAAGCTGGCAGTGATGACACTGAAGAGAGAAGCCTGAAGACCATCAAACAGGACTTTAGGGGACTGGGACGGTTAGTGGATGGAGCGGGAGTACAGGTGGTGTTTTCGTCCATCCCTCTGGTGACAGGCAGGGGTACAGGGAGGACACAGAAAGCACACCAGATAAACATGTGGCTCAGAGGCTGGTGCCAACACAGAAATATTGTTTTTTTTGACCATGGGGTGCTTTACTTGGCACCCAGCCTGATGGCCACAGACGGGTCCCTGTCTCTAAGGGGAAAACAGATCCTAGGCCAGGAGCTGGCGGGGCTCATTGAGAGGGCTTTAAACTAGGTGAGAAGGGGGATGGGGCTGAAACAAGGCTTGTTAGAGCTGTGCCAGGGGTAGCAATGGCAAGGCTGGGAGAGAAGGCAGTGGCCCAACTGAAGTGCATATACACCAATGCACGCAGCATGGGCAACAAACAGCTGGAAGCCATTGTGTGGCAGGCAGGCTATGACTTGGTTGCCATCAAGGACACATGGTGGGACCACTCTCATGACTGGAGTGCTGCAATGTCTGGCTATAGGCTCTTCAAAAGGGACAGGCAGCACAGAAGGTGTTGCGGTGTGGCTCTCTATATCAGAGAGAGTTTCGATGTCGTGGAACTTGAGGCTGGGAATGATAAGGTTGAGTCCCTATGGGTTAGGATCAGTGGGAAGGCCAACAATGGAAGCATCCTGGTGGGGGTCTGTTATAGACCGCCAAACCAGGATGAGGAGACGGATGAGGAGTTCTACAGGCAGCTGACAAAAGTTGCAAAATCATCAGCACTTGTTCTTGTGGGGGACTTCAACTTCACAGATATATCCTGGAAGCACAACACAGCCCAGAGTAAGCAGTCTAGGAGGTTTCTGGGGAGCGTGGAAGATAGCTTCCTGACACAGCTGATTAGTGAGCCTACCAGGGGAGGTGCCCCGCTAGACCTTCTCTTCACAAACAGATAAGGACTGGTGGGAGATGTGGTGGTTGGAAACTGTCTTGGGCAGAGTGACCACGAAACGGTGGAGTTCACTATTTTTGGCGAGGCCAGGAAGGGGACCAGTAAAACTGCTGTATTGGACTTCCGGAGGGCTGACTTTGAACTGTTCAGGACACTGGTTGGTAGAGTCTCTTGGGAGGCAGTTCTGAAGGGCCGAGGAGTCCAGGAAGGCTGGGCGCTCTTCAAGAGGGAAATCTTAATGGCTCAGGAGCAGTCTGTCCCAAAGACGAGCTGGCATGGAAGAAGACCGGCCTGGCTGAATAGAGAATTGTGGCTTGAGCTTAGGAGAAAAAAGAGGGTTTATAATCTTTGGAAAAGAGGGCAGGCAACTAGGGAGTACTGTAAGGATGTTGCGAGGCAGTGCAGGGACAAAATTAGAAAAGCCAAAGCTCATCTGGAGCTCAATCTGGCTACTGCCGTTAAAAGACAACAAAAAATGTTTTTACAAATACATCAACGCAAAACGAATGACTAAGGAGAATCTTCATCCTTTACTGGATGCGGGGGGAAACCTTGTTACAAAAGATGAGGAAAAGGCGGAGGTGCTTAATGCCTTCTGTGCCTCAGTCTTTAGCAGCAATACTGGTTGTTCTCTGGATACCCAGTACCCTGAGCTGGTGGAAGGGGATGGGGAGGAGGATGTGGCCCTCACTATCCACAAAGAAATGGTTGGCGACCTGCTATGGCACTTGGATGTGCGCAAGTCAATGGGGCTGGATGGGATCCACCCAAGGGTACTGAGAGAACTGGTGGAGGAGCTGGCCAAGCCCCTATCCATCATTTATGAACAGTCCTGGCTATTGGGGGAGGTCCCAGTTGACTGGCAGCTAGCAAACGTGACGCCCATCTACAAGAAGGGCCAAAGGGTAGACCCGGGGAACTACAGGCCTGTCAGTTTGACCTCAGTGCCAGGGAAGCTCATGGAGCAGATTATCTTGAGTGTCATCACGTGGCACTTGCAGGGCAACCAGGCAATCAGGTCCAGTCAGCATGGGTTTATGAAAGGCAGATCCTGCTTGACGAACCTGATCTCCTTCTATGACAAAGTGACGCGCTGGGTGGATGAGGGAAAGGCTGTGGATGTGGTCTACCTTGACTTGAGCAAGGCTTTTGACACCGTCTACTCAAGAAACTGGATGCTCGTGGCTTGGACTGGCATACGCTTCATTGGGTTAGAAACTGGCTGGATAGCCGGGCCCAAAGAGTCATGGTGAATGGAGTCAAGTCCAGTTGGAGCCAGTTACTAGTGGCGTAGCCCAGGGCTCAGTGCTGGGGCCGGTCCTCTTTAATATCTTCATTGATGATCTGGATGAGGGCATTGAGTGCACCCTCAGTAAGTTTGCAGATGAAACCAAGTTAGGTACGTGTGTTGATCTACTCAAGGGTAGGAAAGCTCTGCAGGAGGATCTGGATAGGCTGCACCGATGGGCTGAGGTCAACTGCATGAAGTTCAACAAGGCCAAGTGCCAGGTCCTGCACCTGGGGCGCAATAACCCCAAGCAGCGCTACAGACTGGGAGATGAGTGGTTGGAAAGCTGCCAGGCAGAGAAGGACCTGGGAGTGATGGTTGATGGTCAGTTGAATATGAGCCTGCGGTGTGCTCAGGTGGCCAAGAAGGCCAACGGCATCCTGGCTTGTATCAGAAACAGTGTGGCCAGCGGGGTAGGGAAGTGATTGTCCCTTGGCTCTGGTGAGGCCGCACCTCGAGTACTGTGTTCAGTTTTGGGCCCCTCGCTACAAGAAGGACATCAAGGTGCTTGAGCGGGTCCAGAGAAGGGCGACAAAGTTGGTGAGGGGTCTGGAGAACAAGTCCTACGAGGAGCAGCTGAGGGATTGTTCAGCCTGGAGAAGAGAAGGCTCAGGGGTGACCTTATTGCTTTTTACAGATACCTTAAAGGAGGCTGTAGTGAGGTGGGGCTTGGTCTGTTCTCCCACGTGCCTGGTGACAGGACGAGGGGGAATGGGCTTAAGTTGTGCCAGGGGAGTTTTAGGTTGGATTTTAGGAAGAACTTCTTTACTGAGAGTGTTGTGAGGCATTGGAACAGGCTGCCCAGGGAAGTGGTGGAGTCACCATCCCTGGAGGTCTTTAAAAGATGTTTAGATGTTGAACTTAATGATACGGTTTAGTGGAGGACTTGTTAGTGTTAGGTCAGAGGTTGGACTCGATGATCTTGAGGTCTCTTCCAACCTAGACAATTCTGTGATTCTGCGATATCTTCTCATTCTCTTTGCTCTTGGCATGCACTGTGACCATTGACTACACTCATCTTGGGATCTTTAAGCCCTCCCATTACCTTTTCTTCCTTCTGAAAACATTTCACAGTGCATCTCCAAAAGTCTGCATCCTGCAGTTGAGTCCTGGCAGAGTTTTGTGGTACAGACCTCTCATTTATTTCCCATGGAAGTCAGGGGAGTCTTTGCCTGGCAGGTCAACTATGTGATTCAAGGAACATGCCTAGAGTTAAAAAGGTTAAGATTCAGTTCATGAGGCCCTAGAAAAGTGCCTGCCAAGTCTTCTGTAAAAGAATACATTAATCTTAACTCTCTTATACCCTTTTTACCATTTTCTCGTCCTGTATCCTTCATTTTTCCAGACAATTCTTGTTTAGTTTTCAAACTCTATTTCATTTCTTTCTTGCCCTGTAATGTAATTTTAATGCCAGATGTTTTGCACGTTACAAAGCTGTAAGAAATGTGACTTGTAGTAATTGCAGCACAGCAGATGAGAATGGTCAGCTTGTGCTCTGGCAGTGATGGTGGTGAGTCATCCTATAACTTCAGACAGCCAATTGCTCCCCCCATTTACATGCCTGTTGAGCAGGAGAGGTTGTGCTTACCTCAAAGGGCTGTTTCGGAGGATTAGGGCATTAAAGCATTGAAGTGTGCCACAAGCCTTTTTAAGCATTACTTAATGTGTTAAGGGATATGCACAGCCCTGGGATGTTTTTTTGAGACTCAGAAGTGCTGAAAAACAACAGTTCTTTTTCTGAACACCATGCTGAGTGCAAGCTATGCAGCATCATCTGTCACATCAGGGAAGGGGTGCACACTCCTGTGTTGACTTTCAACCTCAGTACCTGCGCACCCAGTCAGGTACACTGACCTCCATCTCACTGCCACGAAAATTAACACCAGGGCCTCTCTTTCTTCTGTTCTAGATCCTGGCGCTCCTGTGAAACTGCCTTGTATGCCAGTTAAACTGTCACCTCCACTACCTCCAAAGAAAGTCATGATTTGCATGCCTTTAGGGGGGGCAGACCTCTCTCTCTCATCCTATTCCACACAGAAGAGCTCCCAGCAGCCTTTGAGTCAGCACCATCACACTGTCCTGCCATCCCAGTTAGCAGCTCACCAGCACCAGCTCCAGTACAGCAGCCACAGCCAGCACCTGCCTTCTGGGTCCAGCACATTGCCCATTCACCCTTCAGGTTGCCGGATGATAGAGGAACTGAACAAAACACTAGCCATGACCATGCAAAGGCTAGAAAGGTAATGGATCAACTTTTAAAATTACATGTTTACATGCACTGTTTCCTCCTAGCCTCAGTGTCAATATCATCATCTATGCTTACAGTACTTGAATCAGGCCTCTTCTCTGGGGATCTAACACCTTCAGGGCAATCATTGCTGGAGAAACAGACATGGAAAAAGGTTTTTCAGGTTTGTTTGGCAGGTTTGTGGCAGAAGGGTAAAAAAGACCAAATTTCCTGAACCCTGTTGTTCTGTTTATGGAACTAGGTAATACTGCAAGTGGAAAAGAGGTTAATATGACATGTCTGGTTTGCAATATATACTGCACTGCAGAGCTCCAGTTATGTGGAGGATTACTAGAAAAAAAGAAAAGGAAGTGTAAGATTCAGACATAGAGCAATAAAACCAAGTGTGCCACTCAGTCGGAGTATCTGATTAGTATTATGAATTAGCTCAAAGAAACCTGTGAGGACTTCCTACAAGTCACTTACAGGGTTTTTAGTATACTATTTATTTTATTTCAATTAATTTAAATTAAATGATACGTCCCATCCTAAAATAAGTATTTAACCCATTCCACAGCAGCTCCTTTCTTACCCATTTGCATCTGGAGGAAGGTTGTACATTTAATCAGAAGTGCTTTACCCACCTTGGGGCTGTTTTTCATTACTGTCACTTGTGAGCATCTCTGGATGCTGCTTCAAAGAGTCTGAATAAGTGAAGCATGTTGTGTAAATGCAAGCTGTCCTCATAGGTTGTGAGATCAGCAAGCTTTGGAAAGTTTATTTCAACCTGTAGACAAAAATTGAGCAAGTCCCAGAATAGAGAAGGTAGTCCAAAAATGACATTCAGCTTAGTACCAAGGGCAGTTTTTGTTCTAAAACCATCAGATCATCCTTCTGTTAGACAGGAAGCTAAAATGTTTGGTGTAGCAGACAAAAATGCCTAATGATTTGACCCAATACCTCTTTGCAATAATGTTGCCTTCATTGTATTGCACAGTTAAAAAATAGTTCTATTAGGGATGGCAGATTCTCTTTGCTGCCACTAAAAATAGTCAGGGGAACAGAGGCTGTCCCCCACTGTCAGTTTGTTTCGGTACCGGGATAGCAAGATCTCTGTGGCTATATGAAAGGAGCTAAGGTTTCTGCAGCCTGGGGGAATTCTCTGCTGGGGGAAGACTGTTAGGACTACCAGGGAAGTTTTTATTCCCATCAGTGAAAGGGCTTTAGCAGTAGGATTGAAAAGATCATTCACAATCCCCACGGTGTTTCCTGTGCCCAGTGACTACCTCTCCTATTGTCAGCAGGGCTGGTCAGATACATCTGCATCACCCCAAAGCTTGGTGCACTGAGCACAAAGGATAGCTGGTGGCTCCCAAAGGCTCATTTGAGGGCAGCAACACTCATGTCATCCCCAGTGCAGGTGATATGTTAACCTTACAGTCTGGCTCACGCTGCCAGCAAAAGGCACTTTGTTGTCCAGAGCCCAGTGAGATCTCTCAGAGTATGACTTAACTATGTCATCTGTTGCCCCACAGCAATGAATGCTCCAATTTCTAGGTGTTTACCTCTACATCTACCTCTATATCAAGTTTACCTCTACAAGCATATTTAACTGATTTAAAGGTGATGTTGTTTCAACTATGAATTTGAAGCTGAAGCTGTGCTGCTTGTTGAAAACTGAATAAGCAAAAAACAATTTCCTAATATGATACAATTACATCACGTTGCAGAATAGAGTGAGTAAAGGTTGTGACACTGATATTTCATATTTAAAATGAAAATGAATCCTAGTTCATGATATGGCAGACAGTTGATTTTTCATAGTCTTTTTTTAGTTGATTTCAATCATGAAATAAAGTATTTTTGAGTACTTCACTTATTCTCCTTGTCAAAGCAAATCAATAAAGTTTGAATAAAGTTTGAATTCACAAGAGATAACAGGTAATGACTGTTTCCTCTACTACCGCAATTATTGTTTTCATAGTATTTACAGGTAGAAGGGTTTGTGGAGCTGACATTTGCTTTTAAATTCTTAATCAGAAGATTAAGCTTGTACAAGAGTCTTGTACACTATCAAGCGTTGATTCAGCTATCAAGGCATCAGTTTGTTTAATGTAAAGAGCTGTTAAGTGGTCATACATGTATCTCACTGTGCAGGAACTGAACCTGTGACAGAATGGTGAAAAATGGTGGTATCCAAAAGACAGTTTGTGAGACCATTTCCTCTGGGACATACAATTCAGCTTCAGACAGTATATTTATGAAATAAAATGCATTAAACATCCCTGCCAGTGTCTTGTAAATCTTGTAAAATGTATTTGAGTCAGAAAATGTTTCTCTTCCATAAAACTTGTCAAGAGAATTACTTCTTGTTTAAACTTTAGTATTGCCTAAGGATAGAAACATTTAATATTTGTAGCACTGCCTTCTTTCTGTCTGTCTCTCACATCTCTGTGTAGTATAAATATATATACAGTTGTTTGAAGTTATTTCTGATTTTCGTTTTAACTGATAAGTACAGAACAGTGTCCTGTGGATCTGAAAACATGCTAATAAAAATGTACCTCTTTATTCAAAAATCAAAGAGACTGGGATGACAGATGAGAAGCGCGTTTTTTTTCCCACTAGATTTTACAGGAGACATTTTACTTTTTTCTGTTTAGATTTTGTGTGTCACATGAGTCACTTATACACTTAAATTCTGATTTTTCATTAAAATATTTTCTTACTAGAAACATTGCAAGCTATAGCAGTGTAACTTGTTTTGCCATTCTGATCACATAAAGATGATACAACAGTAAGTGCAAGTGCTTGTACTAGTCAGCTATGAATTATTCAAATCTGTGTGTTAAGATACATTTATCTTCTTAAGGCAAGTACTTGCTTAGCTGTGGCTTTGTTCTCTAATTTTGTTATAAAACATGATGATTTAAAATAGACTGTTTGAAACAACGGTGTGTTTTTTGTAGAATAATGCTAAAAAGAAATTGTGGTGTAGACCACCTGACCATGTGGGGGTTGTTTTTGCTAATGACCCAAAGGAATTTATACACAATGGAAATATCTAGTGACCTCAGTTTGTCTTTCTTAAGTGTACTGCAATACTGCATGTATTTCATAAGTGCTTTGCTTAGACCGCTGATTTAGTCAAAATGATGTGGAAAAGGCTGATTTCAATCAAGAAAAACACAAAACATCAGGAAAAATGAGGGGTCTAAAATAGAAAGTAGTATTAGCAAGAAAGCGGATGATTCAGAAAAATTACAATGGGATGAGAAACCTTCTGTTTCTAGAGAAGTAGGTCAAATAAAGATCTAGCGTGGTAATTTGTAAATCTTCTTGCTGTTACCTGCTTGGTAACCTAAATTGTTGAACCACTTTGATATCTGCTGCCCTATGTGCACACTCAAATAGATGAATCTGTAACCTACATACATTCTTCACATAACAGTGAAGCACCAAATGTTCCTGGGTGCTGAACTATTTTTTGCTCTTTACATTTACATTTCCAGAAGGGACTTAGTGAACTTGTACTTACTCTCTGTGTATATGGTGTTTTAAAAGTAGATGAGTAATCCAGTGGTTATGTTCACCATTGAAACTTTTTTTTTTAACAATGTTAACAGAATTTCACTGTATTTTAGTTTCTCTTGGGAATTTAATTCTAGGCTTTTGAATTTCCTGCCTTTCTTCTTAAAGGAGTTTTAAAAATAGGTTATGTAGAAAAAATATTTTTAAAATTAAGTTTAAATTAAAATTTTTGAAGTATATCTCTGCTTTATAAGGTAGTTTAAAGTTTTTAAGGACTGTAGTGCATTTGTGTGCTATTGGGAGAATTCAACTGATGCATTCTAAAACTACTGCTGAGATAAAAAGTTTTAGGTCAAGCTCATTGAAGTCTAGCACAAATTCACAAGCCAGTTTTTCATGAGCCTTCCATACTTTGTGTTACAAAACATAGGCTATCACTAAGAAAATAGAGTTCCTGTGTTCAAGGCATCCAATAAAGCTATGCAACTCATTATTGGTTAATCCCCAATAATAAATGTCACAGTTAACAAAATGCTTTCTTGGAAGCTGAATGTGATGATTACAACATGGTATGGTTTGCTCACGGAATCTGAAACCTTTTATTCTCTTGAAACCTTTTATTCTCTTTAATCCCTAAACTCATTGTGGCCAAGCATTATATACCCAGAAGTACATTTTTAAAAGTGTTTTTTCTGGGATGTTATCTGGCAGCCATTGGCATCTGGCAGTGCACATTAAATTTAGGATTGGAAGAAAGAGAAGTGTTTCAAGTCATCTCAGTAAAGAATCATTTAAAGAGAAAATGCAGTATTTTTTCAAGATGTGGAATGGCTCTGGTATTCTGAGTAGGCTAAAATATTTAAGGGAAGTGAGACTACTCAGCTCTTAGTAACATCACACCCAAGTTTGCCCTACGTGTAGCTTGGCCAGCACATCTGGTTTCACACCTGTATTCCAGTGCAAAGTAAAATGAGAGTTTTACACAAAGTGTCCAACAGGCATATGTTCCCCACCTTTTGTATAGCTGTTGCCTCAGCTGAGACTTAGGAGGGAGAGCAGTTTCTGCTGACTGTGGAATAATCTTCATCAGCCATCATTTTTGCCTGCCAGACTCTCATTTTAATTTTGTATTGGAAAAGCAAGATGAGCTATCAGAATCACAGAACATCCTGAGTTGGAAGGGACCCACAAAGATCACTGAGTCCAACTTCTGGCTTCATACAGTACTACCTAAAAATCAAACCATATGTCTGAGAGCATTGTCCAAAGGCTTTTTGAACTCCAACAGGCTCAGTGCTGTGACCACCTCCCTAGGGAGCCAGTTTCCAGTGTCCAATCACTGTCTCAGTGAAGAAACTTTTCCTAACATCCATCCTGAACCTCCTGTGATGCAGCTTCAGGCTATTCCCTCCTCATGTTCCCGTTTTACTACTTCTATTGATACGTTCCTTGCTTAAGGACTTTGAAATCACAACATAGGCAAAGCTAAATGGAAGCAATACTAATGGCAGGTCTGAACACAGTAAGCTACAGGAAACTTTATGTGACAAAAGAAATGTGACTTTAGATAGCATTTCAGATTGATCTACAGCACCTAGCTGGAGTGAGCAGCAGGAACAGGAGAAGGGATGTTGTCACTGCAGCCCCCACATGTAACTGTGTCATTAGCAAACAGACCTCCCAGGATTTAGCTCCCTCCCTTGTTATTCTCACTACCTCCCAAAATCTGTTTTCTCTGAGCTCCATTTCACATGCTTGGTCCCCTCTGCTTCAGATAGTCATGCACTTGTCTTCCCTTCAAGCCAATCAACAAGTTGCGACTGTGCAAATCTTAGCTTTCTTCTGCCTGCCTACAATCTTCCTCTAAAATCCATACCTTTCTTTCCTCCCACTCTCCTACTCCAGCTTTTGCATTCAGGTGAGGTATTTTCTCCTTACTGCCTCCATTCTGGTGGAGAGGTCGTACAGACACCAGATTGCTTGTTGCCCTGAGTAGCTGGTGCAATTCCCTCTAAGAGACTGTATGGTCTGTAGCTTTTTGGTTCTTAGTCCTGAGTTGCTAGTATGTCTGCCTGTATGCTGTCCTACATCTCCCTAACAAGTGTTGTCCCTTAAATCTAATGTGCATTCAGTTTTAAACCCAGTAGATGTCTTGCTGGTTATTTATTTGTTTTTCTTTCCCAACAGCTCTGGTTTACATACAGGTGATAGTGTTACAAAAACAGGACCTGGAGGCCTTCCAGACATGAGACAAGTGCCAACTGTTGTGATTGAATGCGATGACAATAAAGAAAATGTGCCTCATGAAACCAACTATGAAGATTCTTCCTGCCTCTACACAAGACAGGAGGAAGAGGAAGAGGAAGAGGAAGATGAGGATAACTCACTATTTACAAGTTAGACCCATTCTATTTTTTCTTTCTCATTTATTTATGTTTTCCTCTGAATTCTTAGTAACACAAAGGAAAAACAAGTGAATTTTCTTTCTTGACCATGGCTTTTGCATCTCTCAAGGCTTGACTACAGGGGGACGCTTGGCAATTAATCCAAAATAATGAGTAATATGAATTTAAAGTGAATTCCCTAATCCACATGAATACATGTGTGGGTAGCTCTCATGCAGAATTAAATGACCTTTTTTGTCTTATCTTAATTCTCTTTCAAATTGACTTTCAGATTCATTTTCCCAAGTTTCTGTGGTGTAGAGAAACCCTGCCTTTGACTTTAAGTCAAGATCAACTCAATAGGGTTACTTAAGGAGGATGAAATAAGCACCACAGAGAATCAGACTTTTGATGCAGAGAAAATATTAAATCATGTCAAAATCAGAATTTGGCACATACTTTATCCCAGTTTATATTGACCAAGGTTTACTAGAGTAAAGAATAGAGGAAATAGCCTTGATATTTCCATGCAGGAAAAAGTGAATAAAAAGTGGGAGAGGTTCATATTTTTCTTTTGAGTAGCTTACCTACTAGAAAGATGCCATGTGTTTAAAAAGCCTTTATTGTGCAATTTAGATTATGATGTTAGAGAGAATTGTGCAGATGAATTCAAATGAGATCAATATAAAGATGTGTTAATCAGTACAGGAATGCAGCATAGTTCTGCTTTCTACTCTGCTGCATTTTATTTTCCAAACACCCTGAGAATATAGATGGGAATAAGTTGGTTTGGATGGGAGTAAGTTTGTTTGTGTTTTGGTCCCAGAGTATTTTTTCTGTTCTGATTTCATTCTATATTTTTTAACCCATAATCATAGAATCATAGAATCATTAAGGTTGGAAAAGACCTCCATGATCATCTAGTCCAACCATCCCCCTACCACCAATATTACCCAGTACACCATGTCCCTAAGTACCATATCCAGCCTTTCCCTCTGAACTCCTGACTTGATCTAAAGGTATGGATTTGATTTGCTAAACAGTATTTTTACGTGAGTGTAATTCCTTTTCAGGAGTCGTTTCTTGTTTGCATTGTTGTTACTCAAACTAGGAATCAGATTTGTATACCTCATGCTAATTGTCTCAAGAAGCACTATGGGCAGTTTGAACCCAATTCTGTACTGGCTTACACTTTTTTGATGTGCTTGTATGAGCACAAAATGTATGTAAAATTGCTGTATTGTGTGTGATTTTATTCCAGCTTGATGTGGTCCACAGTAGTGGCAAAATGGGCTCAAGTATGAAGAGGTTAATTGATAGATGTATCACAACTACAGTCTGGAGAGTCCTGCAGCCCCTTCCTGACTTTTTTGGGAAAACCTATCCCCTCCCCTGGTGTTTGATCATAGGACTTTTTCATTAAGATAGAATACCTTACTTCATGCATGACAATGGCTTGTCATCCCATAGGTTGAGCTGAACTTTCAGGCAATTGAATTTCTTTTCTTCTGAAAACTGGGAGCAGTACAATCACACCGTTTCAAAAACGCACACAAAGAAGTTTCTAAAACAGGCGTATTCATCATCTCAAAATTTTCCCTTACCCCACAAGTGAAATTAGAGTTTTGCTCTTGAACTAAGAAGCAAAACAGAACTGCATTATTTTGCATTCTCCTGCCAAAGCCTCTCACAGGCTTGTGGTCTGCTTGTGCCTCTTGACCCTTCTCAGTCTGTTTTGGATGCAAGCCAAGGAAAGAAAGATTGAGCCATGAAAGGCCACTGGTTTTCACACTGTCTTTGCCACTGTCACTTCCTGAGAAGCAGTGTCAACTAACATACATAAAGGTCTGTGCTGCTTATGATAGATTTTTGACTCTTTTTAATGCTAACTTGGCTATCTTGGAGTTACACGGCAAGAGAGAAGTAACTCTCTCTTTCTATGCCATAGCCCTGCTGCCCTCACAGATTCTGAGGTTGTATTATTAATTCTATTGAGAATTTAGAAACACCATACTAGAGAAAGCTACAGATGCTACTAGCAATTACAAGAAAAAAAAAACAAAACAACTTTCTTCACTCTTCTCCCTCTGTAGAACAATATTTTGATTCCTTTTTCCTGTACACCTACAAAATTCATCCTGTCTGTACTATGATGGAAATAATCTGAACACCAGAAGTTAATTGATGCTCCTTTTCCTACAGTCCATACCATTGAGAACCTAGTATCCTCCCTTGCCTGGCACTTCTTTGCCTGCTGCATACTGTAATGAAATGATGACACCTCCTTTGGCAGAGCCTCTCCTCTCTCCCACAGGCTCTCTGGCAAGGAAAGTCTGCAGGAAGGACTCTTTAGCAATCAAACTCAGCAACAGGCCTTCCAAGCGAGAGCTGGAGGAAAAGAACATCCTCCCCATGCAGACTGATGAGGAGAGACTCGAACTTAGGCAGCAGATTGGGACAAAGTTAACAAGGTAGGAGACAAATGTTTTTCTAGCTGTTGCTTTTCAAAATATGTGGTGGGACAGCTTTTATCCTTACTCTGCAAACATATGAGATCTGTTTGGTCACAACATTCAAGAGGAAAAGCCAAGGAGAAAAAAGGCTCTAGGCATCATATCTACTTTCCTGTAACTTCCCATACAGGGTCCTATCCTGGCATATTTTACAGGATCTTTGGTTAAGTACCAGCACAAACTCTGTGGGTTTAGATGTTTTCAGTGCACTGTTGGGATAAGTTCAGCTTTGATAATACTTAGGACTGTAGCTTTAGGTGCCATTTGATAGGCTATTGGTTTGAACAGAGGACAGAGGCATAGCTTTCTCTCTTGACTGAGTCTCTGCTGAGTAGCTGAGTCTTTTTCTGATCCAGAATGTCCTTCAGTACATGTTTTTGTTGGGTCAGACTTGAACAGATTTACTTTCATAGTCTCTTTCATCTTCATAACAGCATTTATTCACCAGCTGTTCTGTTTTTCTGTATTGCATGGCGCATAGAGGGCTGGCCATTAAGGGAAGATTTCTATCCAGAAATAGTAAAGCGAGGTCAGGTAGGAATGTCTAAGAACCTTCTGTGCTCCAGCCATAATTTCTGCTGTCAGTTTAATGCTGTTATATTACCAGCTCAGTGGTGTGAAGAGCTAGTGATTGCTATTAGTTGCTCTCTGGTGTGACTCTGGGAAAATCACAAAGAGACCAGTCAGTTTTTTTGTTGGCTTTTTTTGGGGGAGAGACTCCTTTTATTGCAGGGAAATGAGTACACTGCTGCCATGTTGTAGAGGCAGGAAGAATAAAAGCTTCCGGTACCTCAGTCATGATTTTACCTACTTTTTTATGACCTGTCCCATCTATCTTCTCTTCAGAATAAAGTATCCACATTTTTCCAGCCCATCTTTGAAAGATTTCATTTGTGCTGAGTCATGCTTAGCCTTCTCCAAAACCTGTCTAATTCTTCAGTGCTCTTTTGAAGGGCCTCAGCAGTGATGACCAAAGTATACAAGTGGTGCTGCACTATTGCAGGGTGCCACAACTGTTCAATTCAGTCTTTGTTCAGCCTAATAACTCATTAATCTACAGCTGCACATATTGCTGTAGAGCACCAAGAGCAGTGCGTGATAGCAAGGTCTCAGTCCTTGCCTTATATGATTAATTTTGAACCCTTTGAGATATGTGAGTTGAAATTTTTGTCTGTTAGTGTATCTTGATCTGCACTGCTTGACCTTGCAATGACATTAAACAACATTTCCACTGTGCTGCCTATTTGCCTAAATTAGTAGGGTTTTTCAGAAATTTTACATCTCTGATTAAGGTAAATAGTGCCATTTGTGAACCTCAGCTCTGCACAGCTCACTGTACCCCACATGATTTTTATTGAGTATTTTATCTCTCACCATTCCAAAACATGCTTTTTCCCCAGTAAAGAATGTTTCTTAAGCATGTGTCTTTTTAACAAGGGAAGCTAATTTTGGCAATACTCAGAATCCCTCTGATGTAAGCCCCATATTGTCACAATATCATTGTTTCCTCAAATGTATTTGTTCCTATTTTCTCTGCTCATTCACAGTATGAGGTACAATGCTTGATCTTTTCTTGTCCTATAGGTAGGACTTAGGGGTAATCACAAATGTTTCAAATAATTAAAACTGTGTACATTCAAACTTAAAAAATGGCTTAGCCACTGTTGCTTCATTCCCATATGTTACAAGTGTAATGTCACTGAAATTGGTAGAATTTCACAAGCCTTACCTAGAATAATACAGTTTCCAGTCTGACCTTTTAATTACAAGTATTTACTATTTAGTATTTCACCATGTTGAATAATCAATAAATATGAGAAGAAAACCATTTTCATCAGCTCTAGTATGCAAAAAGCCACAGGTATTTCAGCACAAAAAGGAGGGTGCATGTCTTACCAGTGCTTTGTATCTAGATGTGATGTATCCATGTATACAGGCTGACAAATATATAGAGGGAATATTTCAATTTGGACAATATTTCTGTACTGTCCAGACTTCGTTACTGAGTCTTTTGCCACTGTCACACAATGATGCAAATGACAAGCAAAATTAAAGTAGTGAAGCATTTATAGTCTTTAGAGAAGATGTGAGATGCGGACTATAATTGCAGTCGGCAGTTTTGGATTTCAGAGAGATTTGTACTGTTCTACCAATGGCCTTCTATGGATTAAAATAGTCAGCCAATGAAATCACATAATCTACTTATAGGAGTAAAAAAAAAAAAAAAAAAAAAAAAAAAAAAAAAAAAAAAAGGCAGAATAAAAACTTCAGCAAATAGTTATTGTTGTCTGCAATTGATCCAATAATTTTCAGCAAGTGGCTGATTGGGATACTTCGGTATTTATGCATAATCCTCACAATATTTCATTTGGAAGAGCTCATTAGCTGCAACATTTGGCAGATCAGAATTTAGTACTATAAAGAGAATGTCATTTTTAAAGAAACTTACAGTCAGGCATATTGAGAGATTGACCATTTACATACTATGTGGGACCAAAATCACAGAATCACAGAATTTCTAGGTTGGAAGAGACCTCAAGATCATCGAGTCCAACCTCTGACCTAATGCTAACAGTCCCCACTAAACCATATCCCTAAGCTCTACATCTAAACGTCTTTTAAAGACTTCCAGGGATGGTGACTCCACCACTTCCCTGGGCAGCCTGTTCCAATGCCTCACAACACTCTCAGTAAAGAAGTTCTTCCTAAAATCCAACCTAAAACTCCCCTGGCACAACTTAAGCCCATTCCCCCTCGTCCTGTCACCAGGCACATGGGAGAACAGGCCAACCCCCACCTCACTACAGCCTCCTTTAAGGTATCTGTAAAAAGCAATAAGGTCACCCCTGAGCCTCCTTTTCTCCAGGCTGAACAAGCCCAGCTCCCTCAGCCGCTCCTTGTAGGACTTGTTCTCCAGGCCCCTCACCAGCTTCGTCGCCCTTCTCTGGACCCGCTCAAGCACCTCGATGTCCTTCTTGTAGCGAGGGGCCCAAAACTGAACACAGTACTCGAGGTGCGGCCTCACCAGCACCGAGTACAGGGGGACAATCACCACCCTAGCCCTGCTGGCCACACTGTTTCTTATGCAAGCCAGGATGCTGTTGGCCTTCTTGGCCACCTGAGCACACTGCTGGCTCATATTCAGCTGACTGTCCACCATCACTCCCAGGTCCTTCTCTGCCAGGCAGCTCTCCAACCACTCATCTCCCAGCCTGTAGCTCTGCTTGGGGTTATTGCGCCCCAGGTGCAGGACCCGGCACTTGGCCTTGTTGAACTTCATGCAGTTGACCTCAGCCCATCGGTGCAGCCTATCCAGATCCTCCTGCAGAGCTTTCCTACCCTTGAGCAGATCGACACATGCGCATAGATTGGTGTCATCTGCAAGCTTACTGAGGGTGCACTCAATGCCCTCATCCAGATCATTGATGAAGATATTAAAGAGGACCAGCCCCAGCACTGAGCCCTGGGGGACGCCACTAGTAACTGGCCTCCAACTGGACTTGACTCCATTTACCACAACTCTTTGGGCCTGGCTATCCAGCCAGTTTCTAACCCAACGAAGCGTGCGCCAGTCCAAGCCATGAGCAGCCAGTTTCTTGAGGAGAATGCTGTGGGAGACGGTGTCAAAAGCCTTGCTGAAGTCAAGGTAGACCACATCCACAGCCTTTCTCTCATCCACCCAGCGTGTCACTTTGTCATAGAAGGAGATCAGGTTTGTCAAGCAGGATCTGCCTTTCATAAACCCATGCTGACTGGGCCTGATCGCCTGCTTGCCCTGTAAGTGCTACATGATGACTCTCAAGAGGATCTGCTCCATGAGCTTCCCTGGCACTGAGGTCAAACTGACAGGCCTGTAGTTTCCCGGGTCTGCCCTCCAGCCCTTCTTGTAGATGGGCGTCACATTTGCTAACCGCCAGTCAACTGGGACCTCCCCCGATAGCCAGGACTGCTGATAAATGATGGTAAGTGGCTTGGCCAGCTCCTCTGCCAGTTTTCTCAGTACCCTTGGGTGGATCCCATCCAGCCCTATCGACTTGTGCACATCCAAGTGCCGTAGCAGGTCACCAACCAGTTCTTCGTGGATAGTGAGGGCCACATCCTCCTCCCCATCCCCTTCCACCAGCTCAGGGTACTGGGTATCCAGAGAACAACCAGTATTGCCGCTAAAGACTGAGACAAAGAAGGCATTGAGCACCTCCGCCTTTTCCTCATCTGTACATCATCCCAGGTGTATTTCCTCCAGCGCTATTAGCATTATAGCAGGAATCAATTTAGCTCAAAACTGTTTGTTCATGTCCTATTTAAAAGTAGTGTGGAACTTCTGAATCTCCAGGTTATCACAGACAATTGTTATGACTTTATAATTGCATTTGCCAACTGGTAGAAAGACTCCAGAGCTGACTTAACCACATAGCTGTTTCTCATGCTGGGAGGATAGTGTTCTGACTTACACCAGAGCAGTGGTAGGGATGAGGCTGCAGAGACTGTATCTTATGGCAGAATCTGGCCCACTACACACCTGAGTGTTAGCTCATCCATGAGACAGATCGGAACCTTTGTGGCCTACCAGAGTAACATTTCACACAAATGTAGTGCTCTACTGGTGTCTAACCTGTATCAAGGCTCAGCAAATGCAGACCCAAGTGAAAATGGATGTTACTGCGCAAGACCACAAAACATACCCTGCATATGGTGGTGCCCAGACTGCTTCATGGCAGTCTTTACACAGCAATTGCAGCAACTAATTAGAAGACCATTTCCTCCAAGCAAACCAGAATGGACTACTTCAAAGTGTGATAACTGCTCTGAAGCCAGGAGCAAAAATAGTGAATTACTATGCAGAACTTAAGCTTATAACCACATGTAACTTGGGGATAGTAAGTGGATGCTAGAGGCCATGTTCTTAGCTGCTAAAAACCATTATAACTCCATTAACTTCCATTCTGAAATGCAGACTT